TGTTGAACGTCTCATCAGTAGAGTGAGTGAGTTTAGTTTTACGCCGCACTCAGCAATATTCCAGCTATATGGTGGCAGTCAGTACATCATCTCTGTGGCGTCAGTCTGTAGTGAGTGAGTGAGTTCAAATTTATATAGCGATATAAAATTCATATAGATATAGACATATATAGCGCTGACGACAAGTTCAACAATATAAAGTATAGTCTTGCGACAAGCATGCGTTACTGAAGACCAATTCTAACCCGGATCTTCACGGATCAGTTGGAGTAGTAAGTTAAGACGAGATAAGATAAGATAAGATAAGATAGGATAAGATCAGATAAAATGGAACAACTTTATTTCCAATTTCGGTGTAGATTCTAACACAGTCGTGAACCAAGTGATGTTCAGGGTAGTGTATGGAGGCATATATACAGATACGATGTTGCAAGCATTATTAAATGCAAATATTGGACAACGCTTTACCTTCACATCATGGTATCGAAATTCCGGATGCACCAATATATCTTCGAAAATTTTATGTATTTTATTTCACAATAAAATTGTTGGCTAAACCATTGAACGATTGGTGAATAATATATTAATTTGGTATCTGGAAACCAGCAACTTAATTACAAATATACAATGTGGTATCCGGAAAATCGAAGTACCATTGATCATTTGGTATGATTAGAATCCTTTGTTACAAATTCCACAGTATCTAAGCAACACGTAGTCCCAATTTTCTTTGATCCTGAGAATCTACGGTCCTTAGGCTACGATACTACTTAGAAGCACAGCAGTTTGAAGGAGTTACATGATTTCGGTTTGAGAGGTCGTTTACCAGACAGGCAATTTCAATGCTTTCTGGTCATTACAGTCAGGATAAGGGATAAACATAGAGGCTTTTCTGGGTTTCATCTTCTATTTATTGTTTCGTTCAAGGTTTCAGGGCTTGTTCTGGCCCAATCAACCGGTAGAACTAAAGGATCAGGGAGTCCAAGAAGGCAGTATTTGGAGGACACTACTTCTGATCCCATACTGTGATTAGAAAGCTGCCATTAGATCTTATATCCGTGATCTAATGCAAAAGAAGTGTCACACACAAGTAGGTATCAATAAATTACTTTAAATTAAACCAACCATTGGTCACACCTACTTGAGTTGTTAGTCCAGATTTGAGGATGTCATTATGCGAGGATGTCGCATTGGCCATACTAAATATACACACGAATACTTATTAAACGGTGAGGATGCTCCGTTTTCTACCCCTTGTGATGAAAGAATCACAGTCAATCATGTCATGCTTGATCATGTTGATTAAGATAAGGACGACTTTGATGGATGAATAATTTCTTTTTTCAGGTAATGCGATGTTTCGATACAGATTCCTCTATCGACGTCAAAGGAGAAGTTGACAACGATAGAACGATACAAGAATCACAGTCAATCATCTCATGCTTGACCATGTTGATTAAGATAAGGACGAATTTTACGGATGAATAATTTCTTTTTTCAGGTAATGCGATGTTTCGATACAGATTCCTCTATCGACGTCAAAGGAGAAGTTGACAACGATACAAGAATCTGTATCGAAACGTCACATTACCTGAATATAGAAGTTCTTCATCCATAAAGTTTATCTTTATCTGACTCTCTAACTTCAAAAAATGCCAATAAAAATGTGTTCATTTTTCCATCACAGGGGATAAGTATTTCAATGACAAAACATTAAAGGATGTGTTATGGTTAATAAATTTGCCGTGACAAAAGTTTAAGAGTCCCCTTTGAACCAGCAAAATAGAACAAAGACAAGTCTAAATTATTCAATAATATATTGAGCAAACAATGAACAAACTACAATGAATAACGATACAGATTTCTAGTAAAATGCAATTAAGTCACAAATCTAAAATATTGGGTCACAAAAATAAAATATTTAACTCACCAGCGGCTTGACATTCACGGTGAGAACAGATATACTGATTGAAGGTTGTTTACAATGACAGTAGTTGAATATATAAGCACGGTCCTCAAATGTTGACAGACAGACTTGACGACGGTAGGCAGATGTATCAGATCGATGACGGCAGGCACATGTGTATAACTCCAGACATGTGATCAGTTCTTATGTGTGGCACACGTCAACAACCAGCCTTTATATAGCTTACACAGTTCTAGAGCATTCTAGTAAAGCCAGGCAGCATCATTATCCAATCAAAATGTTCACGAAGACAGGAAGTCAAAACAAAATACAGCCAGCTAAGGGAGGCAACTCTGAAGTGCTATCACAAAGGACTACCGCTAAAAATACTATTGCCAGTGAACATATATGATGCGAGATGCGAGCCAAAACCCACACTCACAGTCACATGGAGGTTACACTCGGTATTGACCTTGAATCGTGTAAGACACGCAAATGACATTTTGAATGTTCGCATTCACCAATAAATTCAAACTAAATCATCCGAGGGCCATGTTTGTACAGACATGGTTTTGTTTGAAAATCGGTGTTTTTTTTTTTTTTAACTGAGCAATTATCATCATAATATCAACCCGAATTCCAATCATTTTGTCGATTTTTATGCGTCAAAGGATCATACGGGTCCATCGTGGTCCCCACGAGAAGTTTTATGTACGTGTTGAAAACCTATTATTGGAAAAATAAAGGGGGTACTTAATCACGTTCTTCGTATATAGAAACTGATTGTGTGAATTGTTAAAATTCTCTGGGTGTTGTTTCCCGGCTGACCTGATTGGCAGAGCAAAGTGAAAATTCACGTGATATGGTTTACAGAGCATCACGTTAGAACCGGCAGACATCTTGGCTTCAGCGACTACAAGGTGGAAGCACTTGAGTCTCTGAAGTTCTTAAAGCGTCAAGTTAGATCCGAATAATATTAAGTTTGCAGCGACTATAAAATGGAAGCATCACGACATTGATATAGAATGTTAAAGAGATGTCATGCTAAGAATTTGCAGGGATTGCGAAACACATGAATGGTTATGAAGTTTCAGCTGCAACTATCAACTCATTTTTCAGTAAGGGAATAGCCTGAAGATTGGGAGTTTTGAAGATACATTTGACTTTTCATCATAACGTGTCTTGTTAAGTGTCGACTGGTGACTGAACTAAACTTTATGCACAATCGGCATTAGACTGACTGACTGACTGAGTTTGGTTTTACGCCGCTTTTAGCAATATTCCAGCAACATCACGGCGGGGGACACCAGAAACGGGCTTCACATATTGTACTCATGTGGGAATTCGAACCCGGGTCTTCGGCGTGACGAGCCAACGCTTTAACCATTACGCTACCCCACCACCCCATCGGCATTAGAAACAACATTAACATCATATACATCCGAAGGTACAACATGCATCAACAACTTCTCCGATCAGTGAGAAAGGATATCAGTGTCCAATAGTCAATTTTGAAGCATTTTGTTTGTGTTATGAATACACATTTAGAAAGTGGTCAAACTTAGCACAAGAGTTGTTTAACAAACGATCATAGTTTGAAATCGCTATTATTGGTTTTTATTACAAGGTGGTATGCACATAAAATGAAACACCGAGAACAAGTAGGGTTGGTCTAAGTTAACGCTCATCATGTACCGCACGTGCATTTGTTTCTCCGTTCCAACTACTGCGCTTACCCCCTTGTAATACAAACCAGTCATAGCGATTTGAAACTATGATCATTTGTTAAACAACGTTTATCCTAACTTGAATAAAGTTTGAGTTTTAAATGGTCAAATGGCAAGATACAATTATGAGGATTCACAATCTTAATTTCATTATATTTGATTAACATTTTTGTTGAAAGTGAAATTCATCGGTACGTTTTCACTGCAAACAGACTATAGCAATATTATAGCAATATCAATAGAACACCAGGACACCAGAAATGGGCTTCACAAAGCGTTCGCTCGTCCCTCGGTTGCCTAAATCGGTACAATGTGTGAAGCCCATTTCTGGCGTCCCCTGGCGTGATATTGCTGTAATATTGCTAAAAGCGGCATAAACTTACTCACTTCACACTTGATATATTGAGAAGCACAATACGTGTAATATTGGAAGATGTTATGTAGACACGCGTTTCGCCTTTCTGAAACAATTCTCGTGCAAATGATTTCATCCTGATTTTGGTGAGAGAATGTTCTTGAAGCGGACGGGGCTTTAGTTAAGTTTCGACAGTGCATTTGTAGTAAGCCAGGTTCCTTCCCTTTAGTCGCCACTCACAGACAACACTGTGCTGGGACTCTATCCTGGCACGGTTTCCCATGATGGGAACTGATATGAAGTATTATCTGTTAACGCTGATAACACAGAACCCATATGTCTCATAATGCTCTACTGGCAGCTAAAGATTATTCGGAACTGATTCGGCAACAACGTTAACAATGTATGTGTGAACATAAATGCCAGGAACTGAACAAATGTACGTCACCATTGTCTGTTAAATCAAGTAACATTTTACATTCACATATAATCACTAATAGAATAATATTTAAATTTATGAATTTACAGAGTGAATATTTTTCATATTTTGGTATGCTTGTTATTTAATGCCGCACACAGCAATATGGTTGCGGTCTGTAAATAATCGAATGCCCAGGCGATCCAGAGGTAAACAGCATATATTTCAAATTTAATTAGCTCAGCTATTGGTTGAAGATCCATGAAATTTGCTGTCACCAATGGTGTCTGTCCAACATTATCTTTTCTGCTGACGTCTAATGTGTTTCTGTTTTTTAGGATATACTCGACCATATGGATCGTATATCCCTTCTGTTGAGTGGAATATTAGATCTGTCTGTGGTTGGTCGGTTTGCTGTTTAACGCTGCACTCAGCAATATTCCAGCAATATCACGGCAGTCTATGAATAATGTAGTGCGGACCAGACAATGCAGTGATCACCAGCATTAGTGTCAATTTACCCAATTTGGATACGATGACTTGTGTCAACCAAGTCAGAGAGCCTGATCACCTGATCCCGTTAGTCTTTCAGCTTCAAGCCCTTGCTGCAATGCACTTTTTAAGATTTTCTCTAATACTTTCAACTATTCTATCATAGCCCGCGGACGTTGCTACCATCAAAGGCGTCTGTCCATCATCATCCTTTCTGTTGACGTCTAAAGTGTTTCTGTGGTTAAGGACATACTCGACTATACGGATCCTTCTTCCTTTAACGGCCAAATGAAGAATGTTGCTACCAGATTTATCTATCACTGTCATGTCAGCTCCATGACTTGCAAGTAACTTGAACATATTTAAACGTCCAGTCTTTGCTGCATACATTGCTGGTGTTTGTCCGTCCACGCCTATGACGTCAAAATCAACCTTCTCACTATCCAAGAGCTTTTCTAATCCTGCATAGTCCCTCTCTTCGACTAGTTTTTGTACTTTGTTATTTTCTCTGGAGCGGTCTTGAGGTGCTCTCTCTGTTGCTGCAACACACGAAGTGCACATGCGTGAAATCAATGAATTCGAGAACATGTATTACGAAAGGCGAGTTAATATGCTGGAATCATCTTCTGAAACACAATACGTACAATTGTCTAAAATTATATACTCTTTGTAACAGAAATTCCAACCCCACTAACTGACATAGTACATTTCAGACTGAGTGAGTTGAGAGTTTTAGGTTTAGTCACATCGGCAGTATTCCAGCCGAATAAGGACTAAAACTGGTTATACATTCATGACAAATAAACCCGGAATATAAAAACCTACTGACAAAGGACAATAAAGCACCTAGAATGTCACATATATGGATGTAAAACTAGCATGTAAACCTAAACCCATAGACAGTAGAATATATAGCAGGCTATAGATCGCCAACAACTGACCGTTGTTCACCATAATAAGGACCATTGGGACTTAGGTTCTGCACCATCGCCTCATCCATTGGCAATTGTGCTGTTTAAGAGGGCTAAACTATAACAATTAAATTCAGAATGCCTGGAAGCAGTTTCTGCATTTGTTTGTTGGAGAAGTAAAGTGAATAGAAAAATGGTGTGATTGTCTGTTATCTTTATCTGAAACCTGTGCAGATGTAATAAAGCAAACGGTATCCAGAATCAAAGTAAAAGCAGACTTCAAGGTACTCAGGTTTTTCCATTACATTGTTTCTCAATCAGTATAATGAAAGGAATAACGGTACCATTCATTGTGAACCTACGTAAAACAGAGTGCCATGATAACGGATGTCTCAGTTTAAGGTTCCACCCTTGAAGAATGGGTGACAGAATTGGTCTCCAGCAATTCATGCTTATTGTAAGTGGCGACTAACGGGATCGTGTAGTTAGGTTCGAATATTTACAGACCGCGGCCATATAGTTGGAATATTGCTGAGTGTTGCGTTAAACAACAAACATCTAGAGCATCGATCTACATATTTGGACAAGCAGGTGGTATTTTATTAGCTGGAACCGACATATATGTAACCTAACCAGATCAGGACTTGAATATAACATGTCAGTGAAAAGGATACCCAGACTTGTTTTTCCACACAAAAAATGATTCCACTTGGTGTAAAAGGCAAAAGTGCTGTGAACAGATCACTGGAAACCACATGTATTGGCGAAAAGCTCTAACAGCTAACACGGCTCTGATTAGTTAAGTAGCATAGGGGACGTTATCAGACAGGATCACTTTCACACGTTTACCACTGTCGATAACCAGTGGACTTGGAATGAATAACAATTCCTGGAGTGAGTGAGTGAGTGAGTGAGTGAAGATTTTTAGTCACATCGGAAATATTTCACCCATATCGTGACTAAAACAGTTATACAGTGTGCAATTTCCGGAAATGTCCTCAAATTACATTCAGTACAGTTTGTTATGAAATATATCAAAACTACTCACGGACACAGACATATTGTTTTCGTACTTTGAACACAACTAAAGTTTGATTGTTAAATATCCTATGACAACTTTTGTTCTGATCACTTTTTGTACAATCATCCGAAATAGATGAGTTTATAGGAGAGCAACTCGTGTCATTTTTACACCTTGAAATTTCGGTTTGTCAGAATTTAGTATAACCCAGGAAGTTAATCTCCTAAAACAACATGCACCATCAGCACCCCGACATCAAAGGATTTTTACTGTAATAACGAATGTCTACTTCCAGGTAAGACACCGAAATTTCATCAGTCAAAATGTGCGTTTCTTATTCAAGCTATAGTATGCAAGTGACATGCACACTCCATAGCGTAATATATTTTATCAAAAACGTCATATACTATTCATCCTTTATTTCTCTTATCCTAATTGATATACAAAATAATTAATTAAAGTTTTTCTCAGTCCATTGTTCATGCCTGTGCTCTTGTTGAAAGTTTACTATTTTCACGAGTTCATTCATAGCCTTGAGTGTCAATTGTACAATCGCAATGGCAACGCACATTCCAATACATCTTCCCGTGTTACCAGTGCTGCGGGTAGTTGTTACCACCCGTTGTTGATTGTGATGTAAGTTGTAACTTGTTTCTTAATTTGTAGGTAATATGTAAAAGTTTGTTATTTTTTCCTGTAAAATGGTATTTTGGATGGTGATAGAAGGACCAAATTAAAGGCATAGTTGTGAAAAATAGATGGGTTATTTCAATATTTGTTGAAACTACCTTTCAATGAAATAATAAACAAATAAAGGCCCAAAAACATTTTATTTTTATTTCCTTGAGTACTTTAGGTCGTTAGTCGCTCTCGAAAAGTTATGAGGTAGAAATGGACTCCGCCAACTGATACCTGATCGACAAGATGCCGAATAATATTCATGCAAACGACTTGAGTGCGATCACATGACCCTGCTCAAAGTCCAGTAATCTGATGTACTACTATTAGATGAGCCACGACCTGAGAAATGACCCCAATTTGCATATATGGGAACGCCATCCAGAACATTCTATTTGAAAATGAGGGAAACAGGTTTTGTCTAAGACTTAAAAAGTTCAATTTCCTTGTGCAATCGTGTGTATATCATACTAAGTATGTGTACAGCTAAGATCCTTAGAAACTGAACCAACAAAACCAAATATTTACAAAACACCCCACATACGTGCTAGAGAAAAGAACATTTGTTATGTTTACAAACGGATGTATAATCGGCATATATTCTGATGCATCCTCTCCACACAGGGGTCAAATACCGAATAGATCCAGATGATGGATTTTACTGATTTAGGCGTACTTCGGACCTTAGTCGTTACTTTCTGAATCGGTCTCGGTGTCTGAATCACTTGCCTGTCCTACTTCGATCACGATACTGTCAATTTCTTTTTCTACTGCAATTTCCCGTGGCCAGTAGCCATTTTCAATGGTTGTAACATGGTAACAACATTCGGACCATTCCTTGGCACCGATTGCAGACATTCTCTCGTTTATGGCAACTCTTAGCGAAGTTTTTGTGAACTGCAAGTTTTGTTTAGGAACATAATTTTTGACACTGGCCCAAATCAACTCAGTTGGGTTCACTTCTGCGTGGTAAGGAGGAAGACGTAGTACATCATGGCCATGTTGTTTCAACATAGTGTCTACTCTATAGACAGGGCCCGATTTGTTGGATTTTGCCAGCCAACAGTCGGCTTAGAGCATTTGATCGTCCAATGCAATATTGTGTCTTTGTAACCAAGCTTTGATATCATCTTTTATGTTAGCCTTTGTTGGACATTTGTCCACTTGCTTGCCGTGGTATGGCGCATTATCCATAACAATGACGGAGTAGGGTGGAATGTGTGGGATCATTTTTCCAGCAGCCATTTGGTCAAAATTCATCTCGTCATTATAATCTGCTGATTTGAGCTTTGAGTCAAATACAAGTAAAGCATTTGGTACAAAACCGTTTTCGGAACCTGCATGAACAACAATAAGCCGAGGTACGGTACCGGACGGAGGCTGAACCCCATTATCACAACCTTATCATCAAGCTGCCAACATTTTGGGACAATGTGGTGTACATGCAACCTTGTTTTTATTGCACGTAAGTATTGCATGCGCTTTGCAACGATGTCTTTTCGTGCCATTAAAACCTTACGATTTGACTGTGTTTTCGCCACCTAAACCCCATGTCTTTCAGATTTTTCGAGCTTTCCTTTGAATCCTGGTAATGCAATTGACTTCTTGCCATATCATATATCACATCTAGAGTAGGCAGTTGCTTTTGTACTCCATATAAACTTTGTACAAGTTTGTGCTTGAAAATTTTGGGTTTGCGCAACTTGGTTGGACTAATAAAAGTAGGCCTATTCGCACCCCTATCACCTTCATCTTTAATACGTTTTAAAGTTGCTTTGGTAAGACCAGTAGCCAGGCTACTTTTTGACATAGCATCTACTTTGGTTGCACACGTCTTTTCCATATAAATAATAACATTGTAGGCTTACTCCCTTGCCTGAGAATGAACAATTTGTCCATGCTTCCCTAACTTGTTAAATTAATTAAAATCTGCAAACATTCAAAAATTGACTCGTGTCGAGATGGTATCTTGCTGAACTAAATCGCTCTACGAGACACGTGTTAAACAGAAGCGGTATTGAGTTCACGCCACGGTCAGCACGCCAATCTACCTGCAGCAACCAAGTGTATTCGTCTAAATTCCCTGCCCCGCCTACTTGTCACAAACGCGTGTACTGCACAGGCTCATCTAATGAGTCAAGCAGTACTCGGAATCTGGGCGCTTTCGTCACCACTCGTCCCTTTCCGCAACAGTTAATTAGCCTCATAGCCTTTTCACCTTATCAATGCCTGTTATGTGCGAAAATAAGCACACCAATCAGAATTCCCGTCAAACTACTTCGGTCAAAGGATCCTTCAGGAATATGGATCTTATCTTTCTAAACTGAGATAAATCTGAGACAAATCCTCTATATCGTCAGGAACACGATCATTTGAGAAGAACATTTGACACTTACAAATCGATATTTAACAGATGAATTTTTACATAATGTTAATACTCATTGAATTTGGTGTTTATTTTAGAATGAAATAGAAAATATTATATTTTGATGTCGAAATTCATCCATGAATGTGGTAAGAGACTGATGTTGCTAGTGTCGGATTGCAATATAGAGACAAATAGAACATTCATGCTGTGTCCATTCATTAAGCTGCATAGCCCAAAGAAGTATGGCAAAAACATCATGAGATAATATATATTTTGACAGTGTAACAAAATGTGGACATTACCTTGGACACATGCTGCCTTTCCAGACCGAGTTTCCAAACATCTCGTATGCTGCTTGCAAGAGCCGATGGCACACGTACCATCAGTGACCTGAAGATATACATTCATTCATTACTTATTGCATGTTCGACTGGTTTGATTTGAAGTGCGGGAGTATGTTATTTTCTCTCTGGTACATCAGACCACGACATTCAAAGTATATTTATTCGTACCATGTTTTGCATTTCGTGGACGAAAACCCTTTAACTTGCGGCTACATTTGTTAGAATCGCTAACATCTGATGGTGTGACATCGAGGGATGGTGTAAATCCAGCTAAGTTCCATGCAGGTAGAAAAAGTACTGTATGTCCCCATGGTCTCAAGTATGGTGATCAACCTTCATTTGTTGGCGATCTATAGCCCACTTTCGTATTGTATTTTTGCTTTCAAGAGTTATCGTTTTATGGTAGCAAGCTAGTTTGAAATCTAATTCTGTTATGGTCTAGTTATTTGACTGTCTTTCGTCGACAGGTGTTTCGTGATCTTTTGCAGAAGAGAAGACGATTAGGTTGATAAGGTGACTTATAAATGTTGACTATAATGGTGAGGTGACTAAATGATGAGATGCTTGAATGCGGCATGGTATCTCAGTGAGCTAGCACTATAAAACTAGATTATATCTATGCTAGTACAAGCAGCCACACATACACACACATGCACGTCGTCATATGAGCGAACTATTCTTACATACGACGTTAAACTCCATTTACCTCACCTCACTTTTAGCGACGATACTCCTGCTGAGTGAGTGAGTGAGTATTTTATACGCTGCTTTTACCAATATTCCAGCAATATCACGGTGGGTAACACCAGAATTGGGCTTCACACATTGCACCTAAGTGGAGAATGCACCCCGGGTTTTCGGCGTGATGAGCGAACGGTCAGTAGGCTACCCAACCGCCCTTCACCATCTGAGTCGAAAGATAGGGATCCCATTTCCGATACATAGATGTATCATCAGAGAAAAATTATTCATTATTTTTCAAATTACATTTTGTGAAGTTTCATTTTTAACTCAGTAATATTAATAAACACAAATATAAAGAATATGAAAACCTGTGAACAAAGGGCAGTAAAATGATTAGAATATCACAGCTTTAGATTTAAAACAAGCAAGTACCCATCCAATGATATGTTTTAAATAACGGAAGGTAGCTAGATCACGATTCTTGAGCCCATGGGAACTTACAGCACATTTGTTACCCGCATGGCCCCTAAGCTTGATTTACATCATCCCCTCAGCTGTTATCGATTATGTACACTGCTAGCCATGAACCAAAATTACGTACATTGTACCATTAAAAACCCAGGAGCCTTAAATTTACGTTAAAGACCGTGGTCTTACATACCCTCTCGGGAGGAAAATGATTTTATGGTACTTCAACCCCCTTCGAGGATACAGCAAATAACCATCTTATTTCCGAATTTGATCCATCGATTTTTTAATAGCATATATCTATATATCTATGCATAAAACAAATCAATCAAAATTTGTTGTTCAATACTACTTGTTTTGAAAACTCAAATAGAAACATTTAAATGAAACTTTACTTAAAGGATCCTTCACGAATCAAGCTTTGAAATAATTATCCCTTGTGATGGCTAATACAGTAGTCAGGCAGGGCATGCTTGACAGAAATTCTTTCATCACAAGGGATGTGTGTGTGTGTGTGTGTGTGTGTGTGTGTGTGTGTGTGTGTGTATCTGTAAAAAAAACCTGGAATTTCGAGGATTTGCTTCCTGCTTTTTCGTTGCTTCGAGTATTTTCTCGTTTCTTCAGGAACTTTCCCTATATTTTCATCAATTTCTTGTTTATTGCGGTTTTTGATAGTTTCGAAATTCAGGCAATTTGTTAGATGGAGAAGATTTTTTGGTCAAACTTCGAATATTTTCTCTTTGCTTCGAGTATTTTCTCGTTCCTAAACATATTTCTTCATTGCTTTGATTAGTTTCTCTTTGTTTCGTTTCTTGCGGTTTGTGATATTTTTTATTGTAGTAAATTATTAGATCATATTACATAACTTTGATATTGGAAGTCGTGAATAGATTTTGGATACATAATTTCATGAAGACTGGCGTTAGAATGAAAATGTTACATAAGATGATGTCCTTGCTCTAATAGATTTTTGATCCTGAGAATCTACGGTCCTTAGTCTACGATACTACTTAGAAGCACAGCAGTTTGAAGGAGTTACATGATTTCGGTTTGAGAGGTCGTTTACCAGACAGGCAATTTCAAGTCCGAGTGTTTTCTACGCTGTCTGATCATTACAGTCAGGATCAGGGATGAACATGGGGCTTTCTGGGTTTCATCTTCTTTTATTGTTTCGTTCAACGGTTCAGAGCTTGTTCTGGCCCAATCAACCAGTGGAACTAAAGAGATCAGGAGTCCAAGAAGGCAGTATTTTGAGGACACTACTTCTGATCCATACTCTGTGATTACAAAGCTGCCATTAGATCTTATATCCGTGATCTAAAGAAGTGTCACACACAAGTAGGTATCAATAAATTACTTTAAATTAAACCAACCATCGGTTACTCCTAATTGAGATGTTAGTCAGATTTGAGGATGTCATTATGCGAGGATGTCGCATTGGCCATACTAAATATACACATGAATACTTATTAAACGGTGAGGATACTCCGTTTTCACACCTTGTGATGAAAGAATCACGGTCAATCGTCATGCTTGACCCTGTTGATTAAGATAAGGACGAATTTTATGGATGAACAATTTCTTTTTTTCAGGGTGATGCGATGTTTCGAGTACAGATTCCTCTATCGACCTCAAAGGAGAAGTTGACATCGATACAAGAATCTGTATCGAAACGTCACATTACCTAAATATAGAAGTTGTTCATTCGTAAAGTTTGTCTTTATATGACTCTCTAACTTCAAAAATGCCAATAAAAATGTGTTCATTTTTTCCATCACAGGGATAAGTATTTCAAATACAAGACATTAAAGGATGTGTTACGGTTAATAACAAAGGTTTAAGAGTCCCCTTTGAACCAGAAAAAATAGAACAAAGACAAGTCTAAAATATTCAATAATATATTGAGCAAACAATGAACAAACTACAATGAATAACGATACAGATTTCTAATACAATGCAATTGAGTCACAAATCTAAAATATTGGGTCACAAAA